AAGGCCCCGCCCCCGCCCTCGCCCCGCCCCCGCCGCGAGCTTCTGCGGCCCGGAGCTGGGAGGGCGCCGCGCGGTCGCAGTGTTTCTCCGCCAAGTGCGGTGCCGCGCGGGTGGGTGGGATCGCGGCGGAGTTTCGTGCGCCGTCGTAGGGTGATAGAGCGCCATGGCTGCTGTGGCGGTGGTGGCCGGTGCCAGCGTCGCTGCGAGGTGAGGCGTACCTCTTCACGAGCGCGAAGGCCGCAGCGCGCGGGCCTTCCCCGAGGGCCCCGACTCCGGCATGGCCGGGATCATCAAGAAGCAGATCCTGAAACACCTGTCCCGGTGAGCGCGCGGGCCCCACGGCCCTTCCGACCTCCCTCTCGCCGCGCTGTGTCTGCTTTCGGCTCGCGCCCGCCGCGGTCATTGTCACCGCCGGGTTCTTCCCCGGCCGCACGCCCCAGCCTCCCGCGGTGCATCCGCCGCCCATCCCTCGAGGCCTCTTCCCACCTCTTGGCTCGCACCAGCGGCTGCACCGAGCCGGTTCTCGGCCCCCCCATCCCGGCTGCATAACACGCATCCCAGCTGCTCCTTCTCTGCCTGACCCTGTTGCATCACCCTTGAAAAGATGCAAGCCCTGCACCCGGGCCGGTTCTCTTTCTCCCTCTTTCCCTCTCCCTCTCCCTCTTTCCCTCTCTCCTTTTATTCTCATTACACAGACGAACTGGAGAAAGGTCAGGAGAGTTGGGGATAAAGTTTCAGCAACCTTCCCTTTAAGTTGCAGTGGAGGGTTTTTTGACAGCCAGTGTTCACTTCGGCCCTACAACCTTTTTTTTTTTTTTTTTTTTTTTTTTTTGGTTTTTTTGGAGCCGGGGTCCCCCTGTGCCCCCGGCTGCCCGGAACCTCGTTTTTTGCCCGGGCTGCCCTTAACCCCACAGAGATCCGCCTGCCTCTGCCTCCCGAGTGCTGAGATTAAAGGCATGCGCCACTACGCCCGGCTCAACTTTCTTTTTTATTTTTATTTTATTTTAATTAAGTAATTTATTTTTTGGTCGTTTTGAGACAGGGTCTTCCTGCAGCCTCAGCTGTCCTGGTATTATGTGGACCAGGCTGGCCTCGAACTCACAGAGATCCGCCTGCCTCTGCCTCCCAAGTGCTGGGATTAAAGGTGTGCGCCACCACATCTGGCTGTCAACCTTTTTTAAGCCATTCTGTCACTCAGTATTTTGAGCATGAGGGGGTTGGCTCGGACGACAGTGTTCAGTTAGACCCGAATGACTCCTGGCCTCTCTGCCATGATGGTGCAAGTTGTTCGAACTGGTGACCCACGAGAATTGGGAGCTAGCTTTTTCATTCGTTATTCCAGTTGGGGTTAGTGATGGTTATTGACTTAGGCAGCCTCAGTAACTCTAGTGACCCAGAGTGTGGCCGCACAGTAGCTAGTGGCTTTTTATTTTATTTATTTTGTTTTATTAATGTGTATGAGTGTGTTGCTTGCATGTAGGTAGGTTCACCCGTGTTGTGCCATGCCCGAGGAGGTCAGAAGAGCCCTTGGATCCCCTGGAACTGGAGTTAGGGTTGGTTGTTAGCCATCCTGTGGATGCTGGGAATTGAATCTGGACCTCTGCAAGAGCAATCAGTACTCTTAACTGCTGAGCCATCTCTCGAGCCCCAAGTGGCTGGTGGTTTTTAGGAAGTGGATGTGGGTGTGCCAGTCAACATGGAACACCAGGGCTTGTTACCCAGGTATCTTTCCAAGTCTTCTATTGTATTTTGCAAATGGAGTATGAGACACTGTTCCAAGTTTTCTTTCTGTTGCTGTAATAAAACACTGACCGAAATTAACTTGGGAAGGTAAAGGTTTTATACTTACACTTCCAAGGCACAGTCTGCCTTTTGCGAGAAGTCGGACAGAAACTGAAGTAGAGACCACTGAGGAATGCTGCATACTGACTTTCTTAGCTACTTTTCTAAAATAGCCAGAGCCCACCTGCCCAGGAATGGCACCTTCCATAGTGGGCTGGGCCCTCCTACATCAATTACCAATTAAGAAAATGCCTCACTGACAAGACCACAGGCCAGTCCTATCCCGGAAGTTCCTCAACTGTGGTTCCCTCTTCGCAGGAGTCCCTAGTTTGTGTCAAGTTGACAAAACTTAACCAGCACACATGGTTAGCCCCCTTTTCCTGGCCTACCTTAGCTTGTGTGTTGTGCCTTTGATTTTAGACTTAGGTTTTCACTTAGATTCAGGTTTGTATTTTTATTTTTATTTTATGTGTGTGTATGTATTACCTGCATGTAGGTAAATGCACCCGTGTCGTGCAATGCCTGTGGAGTCAGAAGAGGCTGTTGGATCCCCTGGGACTGGAGTTACGGACAGTTGTTAGCTGCCATGTGGGTGCTGGGATTCGAACCCAGGTCTTCTACAAGAAAAACCAGTGTTCTTAACTGCTGAGCCATCTCTCCAGCCCCAGTTTGTCTTTTGTTAACCACCATACTATAAACTGGGCTCAAGCAGTCATCCGAGTCTGGGTGCTTTCTGATTTGCTTTCGTTATCTCTAAATTGAGGCCATACTAGTATCTACTTCAAAGATTGCTTGTAGTGACACATACCTGTAATCCTAGAATTTTGGAGGCTGAGACAGGAGAATTGGGAGTTCGAGGCCAGCCTGGACTACATAGCATTCCAAGCTAACTTGAACTACATGGTGAGACTAAAAAAAAAAAAAGTTAGGGAACTACATGAGTTGTTCTATGTAAAGACACAGAACTTCACACATTTGAAGTGCTCAGTAGAACATGAGATATTTTTGGGTTTTTGGGTCATAATTTGTATGATAATACTATATATATTAGACAACTGTAGAAAAATGCATATATACTGACAGTTTTTTAAATGTTTGTTGTTGACACTCGGGGTGTGTGTATGTGTGCGTGTGCGCGCGCGCGCGCGCAGGTGTGACGGTCAGAAGACAACTTTTGGGAGTCAGTTCCCCCCTTCCACTTTCATGTATGTTCTGGGGCTCTAACTCAGGTCATCTGGCTTGTGCTTTTACCTGCTGAACCATCTTGCTGGCCTGTTCTTTTTTTTTTTTGGACACAGGCTCTCACTTTGTAGCCCAGGCTATCCTGGAACTCATGGTGTTCCTGCCCTAGCCTCCTTCCCTAGCCTCCTGGGTGCCATCTCTCCAGCCCCCAGGCTGACATTTTTAAGATTTACTTTTATTTATGTGTTCTCATGTGAGCCTAGGCTGGCTTCAGACTGACCATGTTTGTGCTGACACCTTCTGTGAGTCAGGGAGAACAAAACCCTGCTTTTAATGAGGTAGGAGTAGTGTGCCTGACACTGAGGGTCACTTCTGACCTTGTAGGTGCCAGGCTGGGACTGAGGAGGAGGAGGTTATGTTAAATCTGCAGCTTCAGGGCTCCAGGAAGAAGTCATAGTGTGTGGGTGTAGTTGGAAAGGCCAAATTCCTGGGGCCTTTGTTTTGGAAAAGCTACCTAATCATGTGTGATGTCTGTGAATACCATTTTCACCACACACACAGGAGAGCCTGCCCAGGGAGGAACTGTGGCTCTGTGGCACAGGAAACCTGACCGGACGGGGAGAGCAAGGAGGAGTACAGGGCTCTGCGGACTGTGGCAGATTTCTGGTAATTACTTGATGCTGACAGTGGCATTTGACCTCCAGGAGACTTAGTGTAGAAAGAGGCTAGCCTAGTGATTCTAATAGCAAGTACATTTTGGTGAGTAAGATTTGTGGGGTGAGGTATTCAAGACCCGTTCTCTTACCTCCCTTCTCTTTGCCAGGTGTTGATTTGGGCACTGGGAAATGTCTTTAAAGATTTAACCCATGGTTTGAATGACCAGTGTTCACTATACATAGCTTTAATGCACTGTTCATTGTTCATTTAAATAGACCAGGAAAAGAGCATTAATTGGAAACGTGAAGTAATTATTAATTTAGAAAACAGAATTATCCGAGTGTGCTAGTATATACCTGTAATCCAAGCACCTGGGAGCTTGAGGCAAGGAGATCATGAATTTGAGGTCAACCTAGCTAAATAATGAGACCCTGTCTCAAAAATAAAGAGATGCTAAAAAAAAAAATTTCTTAGGACATGGTGTTTTGTGTAACCCTGGCTGCCCTGGTACTCACTGTGTAGCCCTCCTCTGATTTCTTGAGTACTGGGATTATAGGAGTGTGCCTGGCCCTTCTGCTTGCTTGCTTCAGATCACCTCAGCTCATGACCTTTATTTATATAAGAGGTTATGTGATTGGATGTAAAGGAAATCGGGACTCTGGCTAGCAGAAAGAACATGGGATTTGGAGCCAGACAAACCAGATTACCTTCCATCTCTGCCACTTGGGGTCACGGTGGTCTTCCGAGCTGAGCTTGTGGGTTTGTGTGTGTGCGTGTGTGTGCGCGTGTGTGTGTGTGTGTGTGTGTGTGTGTGTGTGTGTGTTTAAGAATAAGGAAGAGTAATAACTACCCATTAAAATTCTTTTTTGAGGATTAGGAATAAAGTATTTTATTACAGTGTCTGACATGTAAGTCGGTGTTTAATAAGAAGTAATTTAAAACATAGCCAGAGAAGTTAGGTATATTATCAGAGTGTGGACAGAAAGCTAGCTAGCTCTTATAGGAACTCATCAGGTATCTTATTTACTCTAAATGACTGCAGAAAATGGGAAGCTGAGTGACAGATACTGCTGGTAGACATGGTAGGTGGTCTGAAAATGTCAGTGCTGGGTGAGATTCAGAGGCAGAGGAAGTTTCAGAATTCCTTTTGGAGAACAGGGAGCCTGATGGTGAACTCAGCTGCCCCAGTTCCTGATCAGTGCCTCATAGAGCTCTTGAGCGCCAGAGGGTGGGAAAGTGCTTAGAGCTAGACCATGGAAGCCAGCACCCACCTTACTCTGTGGACAGTGAGGGGCTGCAGGCTCACAGAGGCTGACTTTGTTGAAGGTGTCTAGGTAGAAGTTTGTAGAACCGGTCTCAGCTTTTGGGTCATGTGCTTTACACTGGACTAGTTATCAACACCATCATTTCTCTCCTAATTATTTGTACGCTGTGTAGTAGCAGTCATCATGTTTCTGTTTCCTGGTCTCATTTTCTTATTTTGCTTCAGAATAAACTACTTTTATTTACTTAGCAAATCTGTAGTACTAGCCATATGTACTAATAGGCATCTTAAAAGTCTTACAATGATCTAATCCTATAACTATGAGGTAGGTATTAAGGTGAATTGAGGAACAGAAAGGTTAAATAACCTTCCCAGAGCCACAAATCATGAGTGATGGAATGAGGGTCAGATGCAGGCTACATCCCAGAGCTTTGCT